CTCCCCCCCTCCCCCCGGAATGGCCGGCAAAAACGCAATGGCTGTCATCGAACCTCTTCTCCTCATCATCTTCGTCGGGTGTCGCTCAAAGTACCGCGAGGAACTTAGAAGCTTCCGCATTCGCGCAGCACGCGATTTCCCAGCGGTAGCGGCGGTCGAAAGTTGTTGATCACCTGTAACGAGACAGTAAGAAAAAAAAATAGTACAAGGTACTAGGAAAAAACCGTGCTAGTTCGCAGAGTCACGAGACACGTGCGCAGGTGGGTACACCCGGAGCGTTGCCTCCGGGTCGAAGTAAATTTAATGCGTATTTTACGAATACTAGGCAACGTTACAAAGCGTACTGCCGGCACTGCGGGCATATTCTTGTGTCCCGATTTGCAGACATGCATACGAGACGTAATGAAGCTGGTAAAGAATTCCGGAACGAACCAATTGACGATCGCCGGTAGAAAAAAAAAAAGTGCCGAACAAAATCACGAGGATATAAATGAGGTAAAGGTAACACGTGAATTATCTGCGAAGCGCGTGGCAGCGAACGATATGACGTAATTCTGCATAGTGATGATGACGCGGGTCAAAGGTTGAAAGAAAGAAAGAAAAAGTACATCTCGCCTTACCGCGCCATGATTTTCGTGGCAGGGACATTCAGCGCCCCGCGGAAACTTGCGGAGATTGCGAAAGATGTTCAGCTGATGATGAGACACCTCGATGTACTTCTTGAACAGGATCCAGGTGACGCTCTCGTTGCAGGGCGGCGTCGTAAGCGAGCCCAAGTACGTCCAGTAGCCGTTGTCGTCTGTCGAATCATTAATGGGGAAAAAACGAACTGATAAGCTTGTATATAGATTGAAAGAAAATTTTCGAATGAATTCGTTTGCGTACGAATTAAGAGAACCGTGCGAATTCGATCGACAATATTGACACGCTCGTTTAACACGCCTTCGTGACAACTTCGATAATCAACGAACCGGGCTCTCGAGTCGATGGACAGTTTACACAGTTGACAGGGTATAATACGATTGAGTCAATAATTTTTCGAGGTCCCACGTGACCTCGGAGTTAAAATTAAAGAAGCCATCAACGACGCTCGCGGACAAATTTTCGATAATATCGCGAAGCGAATAATCCTTTGTGAAAATAGTCTTAATCTCTTCGTAACGCGTACAGCAGGATGTTGTAGGGCGACAATTGTATTTACGCGCCGAATTTATTCCAGATGCCAGCGCATTCGTGTCCTCCCACTTGGTAGAAATTTTAGTAGCTTCGCGAAGGGAAAAGTCTTGCTCTTCCCCTTTTGCCTGTGGGCATTGAATACGGAAGCAGCAGGTATTTATGGCAAATAATATAGAAATCGCTTATTAGGACGTTACTCTATTAGATTTCTTTTTCCATCACTCTCTTAGGTATTTGGGCCATTGTCCCGTGGTCAACACAGAATTATTTTCAGCGGATTGGCCTTCATTAGAAAAATATCGCACGGAAAGGCACGAGGTGTTACATCTTGGAATCTACTTGGTTACCGCTGACTTAGAACGATCATGTCTATAAAAGAATAGTCACCACGAAACTTCAGTCATTATAATATTTGATATAGTGTGCGTGCGTTAATGAAATTCGATAATTTGTTTTAAATCGTATTTATCTAAATTGTACTCGCTCGGTTTATATCCGCCAATCTTCGATTATGCATTGTCGCTCGTGGGTTTGAAGCGCGTAGCAGTGTCTTTGATATTATCGTGTTTTATTATTATTGTCTAATCGAATAAATGTTATATTACAATGTGGCTGTTATTGTACAAGCATCTGAGATTTTTCATCGGGTATACGTAATTTCTTAATGACAGCTAGCAGTTCGCTTAAACGCTCTACTGCGCGACGAGCTATATACGTAGCGTGTATATATGTATATATATATCCCTAGCAAAGCAAGCTTTTACTGATTACTGGTATAGTAAGTATCGCACGAAGCGCCATTATATCGTTGATACCTGAAAGCACCATTCTGCGAAGGCGACGACGTTATTTGCCGTATAGAAATGACAGTTTCATTAGGATCGTGGGATTCCCGTATCAGTGATCTTAAGAAAATTTGGTCCCAAGGTGGTAATACCAACCTTGGTAGTCTCCCTTGTGTTCAGGATGCATGATTCGGTCGGCCCAACGCATGCATGGATTCACGCATCTTTGCGTCCCGGCACGTCCTCCGCGTACTGTTGTTTCAAACAATATGGCAAAACACGCACACACGACAAATGGGTTAGTACTTTTGCTTATTCAATTAGTAGCGTATACATTAATAGTAGAGCTTATGTTCAAGCGATACGTACCCACGCATATATAGAAAGAAAAAGAAAAAAAAAAAAAAAAAAAAAAAAAAAAAAAAAAAAAAAAAAAAAAAAAAACGTAATCAAATGAAAAATATTTTTAATCAGTTAACAGGGAGAAAAAAATAATTAAAAATTTTAATTTAGCATATACGCAAAGATACCATTAATTCGTGGAAGACTATACGTGGGTTCGGATAGTATCGGTATCTTTATAGATTAAATATAGAAAATATATAGAAAAGCATCGATGCAAATCAAATGGAAAATATCACGTGATTTAACAAGGACTTTTGACATTTTGACTTTGTTCTTTTGGTCGAACATGCACAAAGATATCCTCGGCACTGAAGTACTTGAGATATCAGTAGATTTTATTAGTTACAACATTAATATCAACATTCAGGAAGTATCACGCTTAAAATTTTACAAGCTGGCGATTAGTGTTGTAAATTATCGTAACTACTCACAAACTCAAGCGTCATTAAAATAAAAACGCCGAAGAGTTACTATGTTTTGTTAATCGTCAAAGCGCAGTCAATGTACAAGGAAAGAGACTATAAGACACGTATGGTAAATAATGAAATATCGGACTCACCGGGAAGAAGCTTGCTGGGATCGATGTTCTCCACGATATCAACCACCTCGTCCTTATGAGAGACGTATGGCAACAGTCGTGCGATCTTATCCATCTCCTCGTGGGTTTTGCCCACCTGAAAAAAAAAAGTTCGAAATTTGTCGAAAAAAAAAAAAAAGTTTACATCAGTCACAAAATCCTAATCAATGATTGGTACCCAATAACGAGATCATAAAAAATCAATAAGAACAGTTCGTTAGGCAATCAGACACAAAACGGCACCTCGTTTACAGAATCAAATCTGAGTAAATGTTTGTTTCCCTATAGTATAAGGCTTCACGCTTGTTTTCGTTTATTCTGCACGAACAAGATGTATAAGCGCTGTGCAAGCTGTAATATCAGTCTGAGTTAGCTGTACTCGAAGAGACGTACTCGTGTACCGGTATGAAGCACGTGACGTTTTATACCGTTACAGCTGTTTGCGTCTACTCGGCTTAATCACGGTATACTTGGAGTCTAATAACACAGGAAACATCGGCGTTACTTTAAGGCGTTTCCCGTTTTCAGAACTGAGACTCGATTAGGGAAGGATTTTAGTGCATTTCTAACGTGGTGCATTTTGACCCTGAGGCAACCGAAGCTAATCGATCGAATGCGTTCTGGGTTAATTGTGTTTTTGTACTGTCGAGCGTGGAATTGAAGTCCGATTGATCTCCTGCGATTCGAGTAATCGCTCGGGTCGTGAATCATCGACGTAAACGAGCACGAGAAAAGCACTGGTAGTAAATGTCAGGGATCCTATGAAACGGAGCATTGACGATCGATTCGGTATACCTCGATCCTATGGTTCACGGTTCGACTTGTTTTCGAGTTTCGCGAGTGATCAAGGTCTGCGCCCATTGTTGTGGATGAATCATGCAAAGATCGTTGCGAGTGGACAATAGTCGGTTACGCGGAGCCACGTGACAAAAACGTATCAAGAACGACGGAGCCACGTGTGCGAAATTGGTCGTTACGATGATGATGCCGGTTTTGTCGCGAAAAGCGGGGATAATCGATCGCGCGAGAAATACGAGAAACCCAAAAAAAAATATATCACACAGTGAGGAAAATTACGTAATAATCTACCGTCGCGCAGTGTCACTTTTTATATCACGGATAATTAATGATATTCCATTGAGTCAATTCTCTCAACAGCGTCGCAGACACTTCCGGCACGAAAAGAGATTCTTGTATTTTGATCGATGGAAAATTTAACCAACGCCCAAAAATTGCGTTGCCGTTTCCGGATACGAGTCTAATTTTGAAATCTTTAACGGCAGGTACTCGTTTCGAGATTGAACATTGATCCATGCGCATGGGTAATGCAGATAATTTTCAATGACGATTCCTATTCACGTATTGCGTCATCGTGGCTTACGCAATCGTCAATCAGCTGATCGAACTCACTCCTGGGGATTCTGCTTAGGGCTTATCACTTATGCAAAAGCATATACGAGCAGCCACTGAGTGAATTGCATCCATATAAGAAACTGCTGACATTCCGTTGATATGTATTTACATTGTCTCAAGTTCACTCGATACAAGCCGATCAGTTTAGTAACAGCTGACCAATCTGAAGTTACGTATGGGATTTCACTAACTTTTAGGAATACTCCCAGTACAGCCAATCCATCGGACGCCTTTGCAGCTTCGGCGAAAGTCTTGTACTTGCTGGTGTTCCAGTGTACCAGATGCAGCTGAAATCAGAAAATCGACGAGAACATTTAACAACCGTCAGCTCTTTCGCATGGGCACAATTATCAACGTTATTCCATTTGCTACTCAATTGAGCTCTTAAGGACCTACGTCGTAAGCCATGAGAAAACTTTTTGTTCTCGCGCAAAACAACTAAACCGTTATCGACGTCCTATTGATCGACATTACAGCGTTTCGCACTGATTTCTATTCGTTCGATAATACGTTCCTGACCGAAAGTCTAAGATTTCATTAATTCCCATATCACCGTGTACGCCTTATACGACCAGGAAGAGAGCGCAGTACATTCGATCGGTGGCATCTCGGGATACCAAGAAACTCATAAATAACTTGTGAAATTATTCGAGCTTCGTGATCTTGATTAATTCTGCAGAATGGCGGACAATGACGATTAATGAAGAATTTATATGAAACGATACAGGAAAACTCGATGAAATCATAAAAATACTGTTCGATGCATACCAGTGATGACGTACGAGGGAAAAAGCCCTTGGCGATTGCCAATTGACTCGTTAATAGGCCTCTTAATTGCTTAAACCGCTCCTAATTAATATCCAGTTCGAACTGAACTTGAGCGGATATCAAATCTCTTGTCTTTATCTATTTGCCAATCGTGACGGAATGCGAAGTATTCGTCGTCTGTAGATTGACACCTCTTACGCGATAAAAATTCTTAAAAAACGAATAATAAGTAAACTTGATAATTTTTTAGTATCAATCCTTACAAGCTGTAGGTACGTCATGCCGAAACTGGTAAAAACCGGATATTTCTTTAATACGATTTACACTTCCCCCCTAACCCCCTCCTACTAATCGTCAAGCATCCAGCTAATAATGTTCCGAGTCTGTAACATTCTTATTGTTTACCTTAGCAATGAGAATGTTCGTTCCAATATGGTCATCGAACAATCGCGAAATTTCAAGCTAACTCGTGCGACGCAGCCTTGAGGCTACCCGCGATAGTGCTAACAGGAAGAGTTTACAAATGGAAAAGCCGCAAAGTAACACCGTGTATATTTAATAACGTCGAGCATAAGCGAACGTCAAATACAGAAAGGAAAACTGTGGGCGTCTGCAAATCGTTTGAATGTCACGTAGAGCCCAAGGAATTTCGTCAAGTTGCAAAGCCAACGTAAGACTCGAGCTCTTCTATCCTCCGACTGGTTATGTCCTAAGCTTTGGAACAAGAGGAGAGATCATCGCTTAAACAATCGTCACATTATTCATGCTCCACGTGACTGTACTACCACGTTGCTCGCAGCTGTGCGAAACGAGCCATTAATCGTCAGCAAAGACAACGCAGTTTAAAAGTCCTATACAAGAGAACACGAACGCATCTGGTTTCGCGACTAGACCATTACAATAGGGTTTAATGCTGGAGGTACGCAGACATGTTGGATTGCAATAGTCTGATGCTGAATATGTGCTAATTCCAGGCTAACTTAATTGTCAAATAATTTATTACGAATATGATTGCGATTAATGATTAGGCCAGCTGAGAAAACGAAACGATCGACTGACTGTTCGTTAAATAAATTAGATACGCTTAACCTATCTAATATACGTATAATCAAAATATTTACTCAACTCATTAAACCCACGCACGAAATTAAAAAAAATACTTATAACCAGTCACGAGACACGACGCATGTATGACTTCTCGATTAGTCAAAAACAATGATTGCGAGCATCGTGACTATCGTGCCTGAGGGAAAATACTTAAAAATGTTGTTTATTCGCGAAAAAAAATTGCCATAAAATATCTGACATCGACTACTAACCTCGCCTGCGAATGCTTCACCGTCCACTGTGTGCTCGGAACCTCTGGAGTCACTGCATCCCCAGTGACAATGATATTGTTCCAGCTTGTAGACATCGTCCATGAGAGGACCTCCAGTAAGGACTGTAAACAAAGATTACGTAACTATTTAGTACATTCCAACCTTGTGTTCGTGACCATTCTAAATAATTGATTTTACGGATGATAAACCATTACGTAAATTACGACTTATGTAATTCTTTTCATTGTGCGCCACCTTGTGCAATTATTCCTACGCGAACCTGAGAATTAAACAATAGTCTACGCATATTTCGACAACAGACGAAAGTCAATGCTTTCGAGAATTGCAGCTTCGGATGCATACTAACGATACGGTGTACGTAATGCCACGTTGCAGAGTACTCTCTAGTACAGGATACACTCGATTAGCCATTATAGACTACGGGGGCTATAACGAGTACGGACTATATACACAACCTCTAATGCATTACATGCGACAGCCATGGATATAAACATCTACAAATCCTATAAAATTCTTGTGCGTCTTTACATCTGGAGGTCGGAAGATCACGAGCGCTTATAAAATTTTAACATATGACAATTATGTCAAGAAAGTCAGGCAGGTTAATGTCACGCTGGCTATATAAATCTTACTTCTAGTTGACCTCGTATCAAGTGTTCCGAATGTCGCTGACAAACAATGACTTCCGGCAAACACTTAACGCGAAACGTCAATACGACCGATGAAAAGGATTTTTAAAATGATTTTACATATCCAGCTAGAAAATTTCGAAATATCCTAACGCTTCGTACCACCAATTACCGTATGCGTAATTAACATAATTTACAATTCCACACATGGCATCGTACCTATTACCCCCTCTGTCTATCGCGTAGTTTCCCAAATTTAATTACCGCCACGTTTTTTCAAAAAAAAAATTCCTCAGAGCCCTCCTGAGTCGTTTCGGCGTCCACAAGGAGGCGGTATCGCAAATTTTATGGAACACTGATCTATCCGCGCAATTGAAAAGTCAACGAACTTTTGCCCTATACTTACAGGTGCCTTCACCGTCGGTATCTATGCGCCAGCAATAACCAGGATTCACGAGTTTTCGTGAAGCAGTCGCGGCATACTTCCAACGCAAGGGTTTGCTACTTAGAGCCTCGTGGTCGGATTCTGCACGGTCGGTTTCGATGTTCACCGGACTCTGCCTGGAACCCGCCGCCATTGGGAATTTCTCCACCCATGTGCTGGGTCCTGTAATCACAAAATAAAAAAAAAGCATTAAATCAATCGTCGGTATAAATAACCTTCCAATTTCATCCTTATCGGACTACTTGACCATTACGGGTAATGGAACCTGCGATTACGGTTGCTCATACGAGCACTGGAAATTAGTTTGGAATGCCGAGTTATCGCGAAGTTTCATAACATAATTTCTAAGACGTATATCCGCATCGTGAGTCATGCTAACGAACTCATTACACGCTCCCAGTGTTCAAGTCGTCTATTATTGGTTAACACTGAACGATACATAAGATTCACGCGTATAACGAGTGAGACGTATACGCGAATTCGTACGCTGAGACGACCTTGACAATATTAGCGACGTTCAGTGAATAAAATATGTGAACTCGCGAAGCATATGTAGCCCAGCATTATATTATTCGTCACTAGAATCCTACGGTGAGAAACGAACTTTTTTTTAAATATTCAGTTAATTGTAATAGTCGCGCCATAAGCGGCAGGGTTAGAGGGAGGTTCTATCTGGATAGAGAACAGACTATTATCTGAGAGAGATGTCACGTGCTTCTGACTGTAACAATTTTATCAGAATTTATGTCCCCGGCATTGTTTGCAGTTCGCTTTGAACTAGAAGATGTGTCATGAGAAACCACGAGCACGTGGTTCGTATAAATTGCGAAAAAATTTTGCATGTTAAATAAACAATACTTTTTAACAAACCGTACGAGATACCGTGTCAGCATATATGTCGTCGTTGACTTATCAGGCATATCCACTTGCGCGTAACATTAAACTCACGTGAATGAACATGCTATTTTCAAAATTATATTTTTTTTTTATTTTGCTAAGTAAAGCGACTTTCGGTAGATTCGAGAGCGAAAAAAATATAGTACACGTTTTTGATTTCTTAAAAATACAGTTACGATTGACCTTTGCCCTCGTCATCCTTGGATACCGGAAGTGTCTATGCAGCGGGCACCTTCCGTGCGGCTAATAAGGAAACTGAAAAGTAGGATAACGCGTAACATTGTCGAAGGACATTGAGGAGCGCGTAGGACTAGCGCGAGATAAATTATTCATGCATTTAATTTAATCGAATCGGTACGACGATTTCCAGTCCCCTTCCTGCGTCGCTTAAAAGCTCGTAGTTAACTTATCAGAGTAATAACAGAGACATTTTTCAAAACGGAAATGTATTCGGTTGATTAACTCTTTGCGCTTGATTTATGGGTTATTGCGATCAGCTGATCGTGAGTCAACTTTCGCAAGGCTGGGCGTGTGCCTTCGACAAATTATTGACCTTGGGTCCGCTACACGTGTTTATCATTCCATTCCGGATAGCACCGTTAACATTAAACTTGAAAAATTACATTGTTCGCACGAAAATTGGCAAGGTTTTATATTCACCTCGAACGCTTTATAAATTTATGCATAAAAGATAACTTTTTCGTCGGAAGTATATATCCGATATCGCTTAACCCGTCAATTCCGGGACGCTCGACCTTACCGACCGGCCAAGAGAAATGAGAATTATGACCTCCCTTCGTATATAAAGACCTCGTTATACTAGTCTGGAAACTTTGCGATTACGAAGGTCCGAGACAGCGTCCCGTTTGGTGGGAAGCTCAACGGATGCTCAAAGTACAAGCATAAATCAGGTGAAGCCATTTGTTCTGTATCGAGGTCGAAAATACTCGTAACCTCGGTAAAACGTACTTGCGAAAAATGCCCGGAGGTCGGTGCAGTCGACCAAGTATAAAAATTCCGCGCGATAACTTAATTGTCAAGAGATAATGGAATTTTCAGTCTAAATATAATTACGTAACCGTGCGTGCCTCGATCTACCAAAACCTATATCGTATGCATGCATCACGGATTCCCTATCGAGGCACGATGTGATTATTAATTCCGAAGACCCGTTGATAGCGAAGCAAGAGAGACACGTGGCAAAACTGACGTACGCTAATGTAATGCGATTAATTTTTATTCCTCGTAAATAGTCAGCGACTGCAATGCGCGTCACTTGAGCGAAGTGCATCCTTACGTTTCGTGGCCTTATCATTCTGGTGCGCTCGTTCGCGCGAGATCTTTCGATTAATTAAGACGCCACGTAGTTGTGCATCTGATTCCTGGGTACACAATATCCAAGACGACTACCAAACGTTATATACCTAGCATGCTCTTGATCAAACATTTGTCACGTGTCTCTTCCTTTCTATCGAGGTCGCATCTGCGAAGATCCATCCGCGAATGTGTCTTCTGCAAACGTCCGTCTGAGACAGCCGGACTATTCAAATGCATAGGAGGATGATTGATTAATTGGTTTGCAAGAAAAAATATATCGAGACGATCACAATCCTTGCTTACTGCTATGGAATCCTTCGATAGTTTGATAAGGATTAAATATGCAATTAAAATATCAGTGACGCAATAAGAGTTTATTATTGTTAACGAGAAGACTTGATTATCATACGAAGATGCACAGCGGAAGCTACTTACAGGCTCGAGAAACTCTATCGGCTCGATCGACCATTCATAAGCTACATTCCTGCAACGGATATCCGATGCACGTAATCTCACGTTTGGCACGAGCGTTTGCAACGGTGCTGCTCGACTTTTCATTTGGAGTAAATTTGTACGTATTTGGTGCGTTAATGGTTGTCGAAGTGATTATTTGTCTTAGTCGTCATATAATAGGAAAAAAAAGAGAGGTCCTTACGATAGGAATGACTATCGTGTTTCATGCGATGCCTCTCACTTTCGTCTCGCACAACTTCTAGCAAAGCTATAACACACCCTTGGCGTTCTTAGCCTAGAGCGCATAAAGCGTTTTTATGGTTTAATCGATTATACGGGTGTGCGTTAACGAAGTCTTGAAATAATCCTACTGCAATATTTTGTCATTTTTCTTATTTGTGAGAATTTAAAAATTATCAAGTCGATGTATGTTACTTTTTCGATTATCAGATTTATGGATATGTATTTGGCACATGGTTGCAATATACCTCGTTAATTCGCGAGTATGATGAATTACAATTAGATGACTTTGGACATCGATCATGACGGATTAAAGCAAATTCTTGTCAAGTATCTTAAAAGTATATGACATGGATATTTTAAATTTATCGTGTGTTTATCGTGCTTATCAATTTCATATTACGATATTATACAAACGATTTCCTTAGATTTGTTATCCGCGCGAATTAAATGTCACTTTATCATAGTCACCCGTCAATTTCGAAGCAATTAATACTAGTCCCTGAATGATGACTGTAATAAATTGGCACTTTCTTTCTGTCAAAGCGGACTAATCAGACTTTGTACATGTCCATCTTTTATCAAGTCGCAAGAGTAGTCTCTTAGATCCCGTCAAATTTAACGACGTCCTCAGTATAATGATAGAAATTAATACGAAATTTATGATCGAGTTCGTTAAGATCAAATAAATGCACGTTCATTGACATTGATATACCAGAATCTGAAGAAGTCAGAAGTCTGTGATAGTGAAATACGGTACCAGCCACCTACGTGAACCTGGCACCCGACTTAAAAATCTTATAATTTTCAAAACGCGATTCGATTGTACCCCGTTTGTACCACTTTAATTTTCGTTAGTACCTCAAAGAATTCGAAATTACAGGAGGGTCAAAAAACCGCTAGCACCCAACTTGGAGTAATTTAAATTCATCCCTGCAAACAGAATTTAAATTACTCCAAGTTGGGTGCTAACGGTTTTTTGACCCTCCTGTAATTTCGCATTCTTTGAGGTACTAACGAAAATTAAAGTGGTAAAAACAGGTACAAACGGGGTACAATCGAATCGCGTTTTGAAAATTATAATATTTTTAAGTCGGGTGCCAGGTTCACATAGGTGTACCAGCCAATCCAAAAACATGTGATAAATACAAAGCCGAATAACACCCAACAAAGTCACTCGAAAGCAAACAATAAATTAATAATGTCATTTGCTTGTCTATCTCGTGTCTGAAAATTATCCTATGATATATTATACATGGATTATGGGATCAGACAGTAACTGATTGTGAGTCACAGCAGAAAGATTTATCTAATTTTTACACACAATACAGCGCGAGCAAGGGTACTTGTACAATACATAATTTCAATATATAGAGTCGCGAACGTACTGCAAACAATACCCATGTCAAATTTACTTCTACAGATTTTCAATGATATTCACTTAGGCCAAAGTCGTATATACATGATATATAAAAGCGTGACAAGCACGATCTCTATGCCAAGAGAGAATATGCCACTGGCAATAAGTTCAATGTCAATAACGCCATTCAATTTGACGCAACCAATCATTTTCCGGAACATAACCTATATAGATATAAGAAAGCGTTTAACGGAACTTACCGTACACGCGTGCGCTACTCTATACAATTTTTCTAGGCTTTCACAGTTGAATACCAATTTTATGAATTTACAGTACAGACTGTATCACCTTTTTTTTTTGTCGAGACCGTGCATTAATTGTTATACCGCAATTGGTATCCTGATCTTACATTCTAACCTCATTTACTATAAACAAGGTACTGATTTCTGTAAAATCGTATCACGTAATTCAACCAGCAATTTGGTCCTTCCAATCAAGCTCGGCCAAGGGCCATTGTCAGGAGCCTTGTTTACCATCAAGGCAATAATTTTTCCACACTTATTAGTCACACAAGAATTCCTGGGTAACGTGAGAATCGTATACGGTTATTATTACCGTGGAAACAAAACAAATCCGCACGGCGAGCATTAATGACAAAACCTAATACGACTTGATAATTCTAAAAATGTATGTTTTGTCAAAATGAAAAGAAAAGGATATAATAATAGTATCTACGTAAAGGTACGTGACTTTACGGAAAATAAGTCGCAGCCGTGTTTCGCGTCACGTAGATTCCCAAGATTCCAGATGCCGTTCAAAAATTATATAAACAATACATTAAATCAAATATGGAATTGTGTAAACTAGGTAGATGCACCTTATGTACGCGTCTGCACATCCGGTGGTCGTCATGTGTCTATAAGAGACACGTGACATCCTGTAACTAATTTAAGCCACGACCACACCTAACAGATACACGCCTGGCTTATATGGTTTTCGAAGGCTTGGCTAATCGATAGCTACGTAAAATCTTTTTTGTGGTGCAACTGAAAATGGTTCTCCAAGCTCTAGTTAAAAATTTGTGTTCTGTAAGATCAGGGCGCATCTAGGTCCCCACTGGTCTCAATAGAGGCCTAGCTAGATTTTCACAATGTAATTTCCACTTTGGTAGCTGTTGCCATACAAAGTTTAGAATACTTCACATTTAGCCAATCTAACTCGATGCTTCCACTTTCTAGACTTTACCTGACACACGGAAGAGTTTTGGTTCCGGTCATGCAAACATGTAAGGTTTCCAGATTATACGAGCCCTGTTTCATTATTCATTTAAAATCAATAATTGTTTCTATCCAACGTTACGAAACACGTTCTAGCCTCTCGTTCAAGTCCAAACGGCTGATCTATACTCAGTTAGGCTAGGAGCCATGGCCTCCGGGGTCTTGGGCCTCGATGCAAAAGTTCCAGGGCGGGATCCACGGAAAAAAACATTAGTAGCCGTGAGCTGCTCGCTACAGGACGTTGACCCCGATTTTGCAATACGTCAAAGTTTTACGGATCTTCCTGATACTGCGCACCCTCGCAAACCCACGGACATGCGTATAAGTCTTGCAAGAGACAAACTGCAGAGTCACGTCCAGTGATATTAATTGCTAATTAAGGAATTATCGTTAAAACTCACGAAATAGTCGTTAGGTAATCGTGAATGGTGAGATCTTTTCGAAGAATACGATGGGCGTGATTTCCGTTTGAGAACCACTTGTTGGAGCGAAACGTGGAAGACGGTGAAAGTATAAAGGATTGTCATTTCGTCGCCTCGTAAACAAAACTAAACATCCACATTACAGTCACTTCCAATTAAGTACAAATTAAATGAGTTTACGAGTCTCCTGGGTTCTGTCATTAGACTAGCGATCCCATGGTCGTTCTGTAAGCCTTGTTGTTTTTTAATAAATAGCGGACGTATGGGCGAGTTCAAAAGCTAACATTATTTTCCGAAATAGAAAGCTGACTGAGCTCGGAATGGTGCAAGAGACGATTTAAAAATTCAAAAAAAAAAAAAAGAATAATTCATCCGTATCTTTCGGCCAGACACCGTGGAAATAATGGTATGAATTTTTCTTTTCCTCTCGGAGCAGGTAGAAAGGAGAAATTCTTTCGTTCTCGATCACGTCACACGAAGACGTTCCTAAAGACGCTAAAACGTATTTGTCATTCGTGTGCAAAAATATGTAAATCACTGGACACCTGGGTCTTCTATATTTGGCAATGTACCAGTAAGGAGGCTGCTTGTTGTCAGTGTGACGAGCGTGCATGCATGACGAACGTATATTAACCGGAATGAACTGGTTATAGCTACTAGTATGAACATTGGCCTCGTAAGTATTCGAAATAAAAAAAAACTTCTCTTCGACTTCTTCTCTTTCAATGGAGCTATCCTGGCAGCCATTAGTAACATACGCAAGCAAGATGGCGACGATTGCAAAAGTACACATGCTAAAAGCGAATTATTTCCAATCGTGTAAGGACATTGTAGATATTAAAAACTTTAAATGAAGCAGTACAAATATTAATTTGAGTAAACTATAAAAATTTTCTTATATTTACAATGAAGTGTCAATTGACCTATGTCACGTGGTGAAATCTAGATACACGTAGGTTGAACGTAATGAGAGTTCACAAAGTTATACTATTTTTATATTTGAAACCACATCTCCTATGGATAATATGGTAGATTTCCTCGAATTTTATTAATAGCAGTAAATTCCCCAACAGCGTCTTGTTTTTCCTTGTTATTTTCAAAAAAAAAGCTGATCTTCACGCGTTTCATGTTTTTTTTTAAATATTAATCTCATCGCGAAGTCATTAAAAAAAACTTCGATCGAATTTGTACAGATTTATACTTTATTTAAAAAAAAAAAAAAAAAAAAAAAAAAA